CCCCCAGCTCTGTCGGCACCCCTCCATCCCAACCCGCAGCCCCTATCCCAGCCCTGGGGTCCCCACACCTCCAGCTGTGCCGGTGCCCCTCAGTCCCGACCCGCAGCCCCCCCAGTAGCCCAGGCCAGGCTCCCCACGTCCCCGTGCCGCCAGCTGGAGCTGCTCCCCCACCCCGTACCCGGAGTTCGCTGATTAAGTCTCCGGCCTCGGCCAGCGTCATGCCTCCCTCCTGGGCCAGGATCTGCTGCACCGTCTGCAGGACGCCGGTGGCCATGGTGACGTCCCCACAGACGTAGAGGTGGCCCCCGCGCTGGCACAGCACCTGGTACACGTCGCCCACCAGCTGCGTCCGCAGGATGTCCTGCACGTAGGCCTGGGGCAGGGCAGAGCGTCACCATGAGCCGCCCTGGCTCACCCCAGCCAGCCCCCCTGGGCGCAGCCCCCGTTACCTTGGGGACGTCGGGGTCCCTGGAGAAGGCCGTCAGCACCCGGCTCAGCGCCCCCTTCTGCTGGGCCTCCAGCGCCTCCTGCTGGTAGAGGTGGTCGAGGCGGGCGCAGCGGCAGCCAAACACCAGGGTCATCTCGCCCACCCGGAGGCCTGGAGGGCAGGGGCAGGGTTAGGGGCAATGCTGGCCCCCAGCCCCGGGAACCTGCCCACCCTGGCCCTGCTGAGATCCCTCCCGGACACACCCGGCCCTCCCAGTGCCCCTTGGCAAGGTGCACCAAGTCCCCCCGACCAAGAGCCCTAGGGACCCCCAGCCCCCCTGCCCAATCCAGGCCCCTCTGCCTCCACGCAACCCCCCATCCCCAGGCCCTGCCCCCAGACTGCCAACCTTCCCAGGCCATGAGCCCTAGGGACCCCCAGCGCCCCCGCCCAATCCAGGTCCTCCAGACCCCACACAGCCCCCCTCCCCCAGCCGTGCCCCCTGGCCCGTCTGACCTTCCGTCTCCATGTCGTGCAGCCGCTGCTGCCAGAAGCCCCGGAAGGGGGCGATGCCGGTGCCTGGACCCACCAGGATACAGGGGACGCTGGGGTCCTGCGGGAGCCGGAAGGACGGGGCCCTGTGCGGGGAGTGACGGTGTCTGGGGCGTGGCACCGGGTCGGGCACCCAGCTCTGCCCGCAGCCAGTGCACTGCAGGGGCCTCGGGGCAGGGGCCACGGAAGCAGAAAGGGTTAATGGGAGGAGGAGGGGTCCCCAGACTAGGGGTGGAACAGGGCATGCTGGGAGCTGTAGTCCCTGTGGGGTAAATGGGGCTCAGAAGGGAGCAGGGCATGCTGGGAGCTGTAGGGCCTGTGGGGTGGAAGAGCCACAGGAGGGAGCATGCAGGCAGGGTCCCAGCCCCACCAGCCCCCACCCTGTGCCCCATGCAGGGTCCCAGCCCCGCAAGCCCCCCTCCAGGCTCTGTGCCCCAGGCAGGGTCCCAGCCCCCGCCCCGGCTCTGTGCCCCGGGCAGGGTCCTGGCCTCCCTTACCCTCTGATGAAGGCGGGCACCGTGTCCCCCTCCTGCAGCTGGGCCAGCCAGGTGGAACAGACGCCGAAGTGCAGGGGCCCCTGGCCGTCTGCGGGACACACGGAAGGAGGGGCAGGGTGCTCAGAAGACTGATGGGGATGGCACCTGCCCCCCATGTCCCCTCCCCTTCCACCTGGTGCCCTCCCCACATCCCCTCCCCCCCTCAGATACCCTCCCCCAGCCCCCCCATCTCGTGCACCTTCTCCCCTCCCAGCTCCATCTCCCTGGGGATGGGGGGGAAGAGGCGGGCTGCTCACCTCGCTGCGGGGTTGCCCTGGCCGTGGGGGTATCACTCACTCCGGCTGTGGGGGGTGGGGTCACCCCCTGGCTGTGTGGGGCGGAAGAGGGGTTGCTCCCTTGGCTGGGGGGGAAGGGGGTGTAATATTCAAGGAATAGCTGTGATGTATTTTACGCAAGAGAGGTCATGTGAGAGATCAGTGAAACGGTTCTGATTTTCTGAATGCGATTATCCTAGTTGTGTGCATGTATCACTTTCGTATCTGAAGTTAGGAATATTGACTCTGTATCTGTATGAGAAATGTGTTTGCACCCGGGGAACGCTCACTGGTAGGCAGAATGCACTCAGTCTAGATCAGTGGCTCTCAAACTTTTGTACTGGTGACCCCTTTCACACAGCAAGCCTCTGAGTGCAGCCCCCCTTATAAATTAAAAACACTTGTTTATATATTTAACACCATTATAAATGCTGGAGGCAAAGTGGGGTTTGGGGTGGAGGCTGACAGCTCACGACCCCCTATGTAATGTCCTCGTGACCCCCTGAGGGGTCCCGACCCCCAGTTTGAGAACCCCTGGGCTAGATGGCTGGCTGGGAAGGGCCATTAAAGAAAACAATAGGCCTTAGAAGAAGTTTATCTCCCACCTGGGAGCTTTCCTGAGGCTGCTCTAAACAGCCTCTGACTCATGGCTGCTAGAACTACAGGATCATGTGACCGGGTCACCTGGTGCGGGACTCCATCTTGGGATGTCAGTACTTTTCCACTGACTGGCGTGGGAACCAGGCTTTGAAACAGGGTTCCCGCCCTCTGCAAAAGCTACATAAGGCAGGGGAGTGACATCATCAGGGTTCTTCGTCACTGACTCCCCGCCCAAAGTGACTCCTGGAAACACCTGAGGAACAAGGACTGAACTGGGGGAAGTGCTGGACCCAGGCGAGAGAGATTGGAACAACTGGGGATTCCAAGCTGTGAGCAAGTGCAGTTTGCCCCCTAAGAATCTGCAGCCTGCCTGTATCATCTCTTAGGGTGAGAATCTGCTGTTCATATCCAATCTATCTAGCATATTAAGCTTAAGAACATAAGAACAGCCATACACGGTCAGAGCAAGGTCCATCTAGCCCAGTATCCTGTCTGCTGACAGTGGCCAATGCCAGGTGCCCCAGAGGGAATGAACAGAACAGGTAATCATCCAGTGATCTCTCTCCTGTCGCCCATTCCCAGCTTCTGGCAAACAGGGGCTAGGGACACCATCCCTGCCCATCCTGGCTAACAGCCATTGATAGACCTATCCTCCATGAACTTATCTAGTTCTTTTTTGAACCCTGTTATAGTCTTGGACTTCACAACATCCCCTGGCAAGGAGTTCCACAGGTTGACTGTGTGTTGTGTGAAAAAATACTTCCTTTTGTTTGTTTTAAACCTGCTGCCTATTAATTTCATTTGGTGATCCCTAGTTCTTGTGTTATGAGGAGTAAATAACACTTCCTTATTTACTTTCTCCACACCAGTCATGATTTTATAGACCTCTATCATATCCACCTTAATCGTCTTTTTTCCGAGCTGAAAAGGCCCAGTCTTATAAATCTCTCCTCATATGGCAGATGCTCCATACCCCTAATCATTTTTGTTGCTCTTTTCTGAACCTTTTCCAATTCCAGTATATCTTTTTTGAGATGGGGTGACCACATCTGCACACAGTATTCAAGGTGTGGGCGTACCATGGATTTATATAGTGGCAATATGATATTTTCTGTCTTATTATCTATCTCTTTCCTAATGATTCCCAACATTCTGTTCACTTTTTTGACTGTCGCTGCACATTGAGTGGATGATTTCAGAGAACTATCCACAAAGACTCCAAGATCTCTTTCTGGAGTGGTAACAGATAATTTAGACACCATCATTTTATACGTATAGTTAGGATTATGGTTTCCAATGTGCATTATTTGCATTTATCAACATTGACTTTCATCTGCCATTTTGTTACCCAGTCACCCAGTTTTGTGAGATCCTTTTGTAGCTCTTCGCAGTCTGCCTGGGACTTAAATATCTTGAGTAGTTTTGTTTCATCTGCAAATTTTGCCACCTCACTGTTTACCCCTTTTTCCAGATCATTTATGACTATGTTGAACAACCCTGGTCCCAGTACAGACCCTTAGGGGACACCACTATTTACCTCTCTCCATTCTGAAAACTGACCTTTTATTCCTACCCTTTGTTTCCTATCTTTTAACCAGTTACCAATCCATGAGAGCACCTTCCCTCTTATCCCAGGATAGCTTACTTTGCATAAGAGCCTTTGGTGAGGGACCTTGTCAAAGGCTTTCTGAAAATCTAAGTATGCTATTGTGATGTTATTGACACAAACTGGGACCGTATAGATCATTGTTGCAATCAAGGTCCTGTAGTGGCATCAAATCTTGTATAAAGGGGGTCAAATAAGGTGTCTAAGACAAGGTTATGGTTTGCTGGTTATGATTATGCTGTCTATATGCGTGTATCATTTTTGTATTTAAAGTTATAATATTGGCTCTATCCTGTCTGTATTTCAAACTTGTGCTGTGCTTCTGGGTGACACCCCAGACAATTTGGCGTAAGCACTGCCTAGCCTGCTTGATGGCCCATTAAGGACCATCAGCTACACAACTGATCCATTGAGAGAAGGCAGATACACCTATGGACATGCCTATGGACAGAACTCTGAGGTATTTCCATGCCATGTGCTGGGCGGCTTGTTTTTGGAACAAAGAAAGCAAGAGACTATAAAAAGCTGCTGCAGCTCCTCCATCTTGTCTTCAATCCTGCTTCTGACCTCTGGAGGGACCTTGCTACAAACTGAAGCTCTGAACAAAGGACTGAATGACCCATCCCAGCTGGGGATGTTCCAGAGACTTGATTTAAACCTGCAGTTTATTCTATCGCTGCTACAAGCCTGAACCAAGAACTTTGCCATTACTGTATGTAATTGATTCCATTTAACCAATTCTAGCTCTCATCTCTATCTTTTTCCTTTTATGAATAAACCTTTAGATTTTAGATTCTAAAGGATTGGCAACAGCGTGATTTGTGGGTAAGATCTGATTTGTATATTGACCTGGGTCTGGGGCTTGGTCCTTTGGGATCAGGAGAACCTTTTTTCTTTTACTGGGGTATTGGTTTTCATAACCATGTGTCCCCATAACGAGTGGCACTGGTGGTGATACTGGGAAACTGGAGTGTCTGAGGGAATTGCTTGTGTGACTTGTGGTTAGCCAGTGGGGTGAGACCAAAGTCCTCTAGGTTTGGCTTATTTGGTGCCTTAGAGGTGGAGAAACCCCAGCCTGGGGCTGTAACTGCCCTGCTCTGAGCAATTTGTCCTGAATTGGTACTCTCAGTTATGTCCCACCAGAACCAGCATCATTACAACTATATCCACTGGATATCCTTTGTCCACATGCTTGTTGACCCCCTCAAAGAATTCTAGTAGATTGGTGAGGCATGATTTCCCTTTACAAAAACCATGTTGACTCTTCCCCAACAAATTATGTTCATCTATGTGTCTGACAATTCTGTTCTACCGGCCTGTAATTGCCGGGATCACCTCTGGAGCCCTTTTTTAAAATTGGCATCACATTAGCTATCCTCCCGTCATTTGGTACAGACTACAGCGTTATATCGAGGTAGAGGTGTACTTTTTGAGTCTTTGACTAGCTGTTTTTCAAATTCTTTTTTGGCCTTCCTAATTGTATTTTTACACTTCATTTGCCAGCGTTTATGCTCCTTTCTATTTTCCTCACTAGGATTTAACTTCCAGTTTTTAAAAGATGCCTTTTTGTCTCTCACTGTTCTTTAACTTTGTTGTTTAACCACGGTGGCTCTTTTTTAGTTCTCTTACGATGTTTTTTAAATTGGGGGATACATTTAAGTTGAGCCTCTATTATGGGGTCTTTAAAAAGTTTCCATGCAGCTTGCAGAGATTTCACTTTTGGCGCTGTACTCTTTAATTTCTGTTTAACAAACCTCCTCATTTTTGTGTAGTTCCCCTTTCTGAAATTAAATGCTACAGTGTTGGGCCGCTGTGGTGTTTTCCCTGCCACAGGGATATTAAATTTAATTATATTATGGTCACTATTACCAAGCGGTCCAGTTATATTCACCTCTTGGACCAGATCCTGTGCTCCACTTAGGACTAAATCAAGAATTGCCTCCCCTCTGGTGGGTTCCAGGACTAGCTGCTCCAAGAAGCAGTCATTTAAGGTGTCAAGAAACTTTATCTCTGCATCCCGTCCTGAGGTGATATGTACCCAGTCAATATGGGGATAATTGAAACCCCTCATTATTATTTTTTTATATTAATAGCCTCTCTAATCTCCCTGAGCATTTCACAGTCACTATCACCATCCTGGTCAGGTGGTTGGTAATATATCCCTACCGCTGTATTCTTATTATTAGAGCATGGAATTTCTATCCATAGAGATTCTATGGTAGTTTGATTCATTGAGAATTTTTACTTCTTTTGATTCTATGCTTTCTTTCATGTGTAGTGCCACTCCTCCACCAGCACGACCTGTTCTGTGCTTCCGATATATTTTGTACCCTGGTATTACTGTCCCATTGATTATCTTCATTCCACCAGGTTTCTGCTTAGATTGTGGTTTTGTTTATTTGCTAGGTAACCTGCTTTGATCTGTTTGCTATCCCTTATAGTCACTTAAAATCTATCTTTTGTAGTTAATAAACTGGGTTTTGTTTTGTCTAAAACTAGTGTGTGGGAATCATAACTTGGGGCAGAAAGCTGTGTATATTCCTCTCCACATTGAGGGAGGGGGCGACTTTCAGGAGCTTACGCTGTACAGATCTCTGGGCAGCGCAAGACGGTATAATTGTGTGTTTACACTCGGGAGCAGGGTCCGTGCCTTAGGAACTGGGAGGTGCCTTAGCTGTGCCTTCCCATGCAGGGGCTGGTTAAAGAACTGGTGTGTATGTAACTGCAGCTGGGTGTGTCCCTACCTGTGTGTGTGCGCTGGAGCCTGGCACAGGGCTTGGCAGGCTGGTCACAGCAACACAGTGTAAAGGGAGCAAGGCTGGTGGGTCAGGGGGGCTCAGTGGTACCCTAGTTCGAGGGGACACCCTGGGGGGAAGCTGTTCCAGGGGGTTGCTCACTCTGGCTGGGGGTCATGCTCCTGGCTGGGGGGGAAAGGGGGGGGTCGCTCACCCTGGCTGTGGTAGGCCAGCACGGCCACGGTGAGGTGGATCTGGCCGGGGTGGGCGCTGGGTGCGGAGCTGACCGAGTAGTAACGCGGTTGCAGCAGAGGCAGCTGGGTGAGCAGCAGGGAGGCGGGCAGCGCCAGCGAGGGGAACTGCTCCAGCACCTGGCCCAGCGTGGGGCACTGGAACCACTTCCACTCCTCGTATTGCCGGGCGTCCTGCAACGGCAGCCGGCTGGGACCCACCGAGTCCCCCACGCTCTCCCTCCCCCAAGCCCAACCACAACCACAGCCGGGCTGGGACCCGCCGAGCCCCCCAC